CCAGAATGCTAAAGATTTCCCATGAGAACAGGTCTGAAGGAAACAACTCATCCATGGATCTGGAAGCGGACAATGTGATGTTTGGAACCAGGATACATCCAAGGACAATGGACCTGGCAGCGAAGGCACAGGTAGACATCAACTCTGAGTCACACTAGAAGCCACTCACATTATAGTGCCTGTACTCCTGCGGCGAATTTCAATCCCAAATGGATTCTTCTTAATGAGGACATCATAGAGTTGACCCTCAGGGGTGTTGGATGGCACCCTGGGTACATTCAGAGGAACTGGAACTTCATACCGATTGTTGTTGGGATCATAAATCTAGGCCAGAGGAAATCGATTTTAGGCAAGAATAGTACTCTTGAAACCCATACCCTTAGCAGAATCTTTTTTATTTTTGGAGAAAAAGTGCAGATGCTATGTTTCTGTCTTCTTTAAGTTTATGATATCTGAGATTTATTTAATATATCAAATAACAATATCAGATTTAACATTTTTTCTGTCATTTCTCATTATTCAGGCCTCTGTTACATTAATATACTCAATGGGACATTGGTGCTGACTTGGAAAGTCATTCTGGAATCAGTGTAGTAGTTATGAATATGTTACTTGTTATTTTATGTGGGTATATGAGTATATATAAATACCTTAAAACCATTATGACTTGAAAAACAAACCTGTCTCCCCAAAATGAAATCAATTTAATTAAAATAATCTGAATGTCCTTGCTGAAGGTGGTATCTAAACTGATTCATGAGTACCTAAGACATCCCTGCCTACACAAGACACTAGGAATGTGAGCTGTATAAGGCAGTGTTATGATTTTACAAAATTCACATGCTAGTGATTAGTGAAAGAGAGCAGCTCACAACACCTGGGTGACGTGTGCTAAGGGACAGCTACGTAGACATGCTGTGAGATTCTAGGGAAGGAAATGCCTAACATTGTTTCTGGGAGACTGAGATGGTGTCATGGGAGAAACACCTGATGACTCTTAAAAGCTTGGTAGTCATTAACCAAACAAACAAGGGAGATCAAGTCATTCTGCTGAAGAATAACAACCGCACAGGCAGAGTACTAAAGTGGGCCGTAAAGAGGCAAATATTTTGGAAAGAGCTACTCTATGGTCAAGAGGTAGACTAGGCAACGGTTGAGGCTAGAACTCCAAGGAAGTTCATTCACTTCAAACTCATTGGGTGCCTACAACATGCTAGTACTATGATGTACAAACATACATCAGCATCATCCCTGCATTACAGGACGTACAAAAACTCAGACTTCGGGTTGATGTCAGATTATAAACAACCTTTTAGGCAATGCAACAACATCCTCATCACTTTCACTTACTGTGTCAATAACATTACAGCGCTAACCATGTGCCAGGTTCTGAATTAAACTTCAGAAACACAAAGACGAAAGGGCACATTCCTACCCTTGAGAAGCTTAGTTTAATAGAGAACTAGACATAACAGCTAGTCCATCCCTAGCCCTTAAATGCAATTAAATCTTGGAAAGGAATGAAATTACTGCATCTTGATGCCTATTTTACAGAAATCTCAAATTCGGAATCCCAAAATGAACATATCATCTGATATTTATCAAGCACAAACATTTTCATTATTCCTATTCCAGTTAATGTCAGCACCATCCATATTAAGCCCCAAGCTAGAAACACGGTCTTCATTCTTGATTTTCCCTCTTCATTGTCACCTGCTTGCAAACGAGCACTATATCCTCTCACCCAACTTTCTCAACCTCAGACAGGTCCACTCTTCTCCACCTGCATTCCAGTGTCTAGTCCAAATCTAATCCCTCAACTGACCTGCCTAACTGGTAGCCTCCCAACTTGTCTCTCCGTACCCGCTCTTTCTCTCCCAACCATTTTCCTAACAGCAGTCACAGTAATCTTTTCCAAATGAAAATCAGGGCAGGTCTCATTGTTCCCTCAATGATTTCTCAATGCTCTCTGGATAATGATCTAGTCTATTGTAGCATGATTAACTTATTTTAGGGTTCTGTGACTTGGACCAATAAAAGGTAATTGAACTGAAAAGGGTCTAATCACTACCTGATACATGTACTGTGTTTACCTTGAACTGCAGCATTTCATTCTTATGGTAAGTGACATCCAGGCGAAGGGGGTTCACGGGTGTGGAGGGGAAGGCATTGGCATACACGGAAGACTTTAAGGAGATGTCAGCTGTGGCCCCATGTGAATTATATTGAACATTACTGACAGAGTATAGATCGTTGACAAAATAGCAAACAGGGACTCCAGAAGAATTGGATGTCTGAAAAGTAAGGGTAAAGTCATAGATCAGCACAGCATGTGGTCTTAAAGTTCTCTAACCTAAACAGGGGTAGAAACATCATTTTATACCACAATAAAACCAGCCCATCACTGATCACTTTGCAATAACATAAATTTAAATTCCTGGTCTCCAAGCAAAATATTCATTTTAAAAAGTTTCACACATGTCCCCACATACTCATCACATCCAGAACATGTCCCTTAGGAAGTCCTTTCTATGGATTTTAAGTAGTTATGTAAGTACTACTGCTATGCTTAAGAAACTATACATTAGGTGTGGAGACTTCCATGCACGTGAACCCCAGCAGCATGGTTACCTCCCAGATACAGCCACGGGCAGTGCAGTTTTCTGCAGAAGCGCCATTCTCATCAGGGTAACAGTCTATTTTTTCATCATCCCTTATCTTTATGCTCCACTCCACTGTGTATGCTTCTCCCAGGAGAAGACTGATGTCTGTGATAATGGCAACCTGTTGGAATACAGAAATCACAAGGAAATTCATCTTTAGGAGATAGGCCTTGCAAGATCTGAGGCTTTTTTTTTTTTTTTTTCAGGAAAGAATATAGAAATTTGACCAGACATTCAACCACCCAACCAACGTATGACTTTAGCTCATAAGAAGAGAACTGCACATTGGGGGAATCTAATTAGCAGCAACAGGGCAAATGTCTCCTCTCTAGCAGAATCTTGTACATAGAATAAAGAAAACAACTCAGTCAAATAAAACCCGTCATGATCACCCCTTATTCTTTTCTGTCCTGACTCCTCTTAGCCCTCTGTGTCTTGTCAGGAAGGCTCTCTTCTGCACTTCCTCTTTAGCATGACACATGGTGTCACCCAAAGTGAGCTGATCCCCTTGCTCTCCAGTCCCCAAACCAGTATCCCCCATTGGCGTGGAGTGGTAGAAAGAATACAGCATTAAGAATCATACGATCTGGTTATCATGTCCACATTTCCATAGAACATTGAACAAATGATTTCTTTAATTTTTAATTTTAATGGATATATAGTAGGTATACATATTTATGGGTTATATGAAATATGTTGATTCAGGCATACAATGCATAATAATCACATCAGGGTAAGTCGGGTATTCTGTTTCATTTATTTGGGTTTCAATTTTAGCAACAGCAAAATTGAGAGGCTGAAAAAAATCATGTATTTCTTTCCATTTCTAACACCCTAGCCTCTTTGTTTCTGTAACCCCAAAGACTCCAATTTTGAAACCTTCCTTGATTACCATTCATTCAAATATTTAATATTTTTCTACATACTTTTCTTATCTTTGACATTTCTTTAAACAGCACTTCCCAAGTTCTCACTTGTCTGGAATAATAAAATCCCATTCTAAAATTATCATCCTTCTCCCAGTCTCCTCCCAGTCTAAACCATCTTGTACTTCCCTGTTCAACTAGTCCCCAAACTCACTCCCACTCCCAGCAATGCTCATACACAGTGGCACAGACTTCATTCAAGGATCAACATGAGGCCCTTTGAGAATTAAATCAAGTTGGTAACTAAGACCCTCCAAAATCTGACCACAAGTTTCCTATGCAAACTGGCCTCTTTTTGAAAACTGAATCTTATCTATGCTATTCCAGTCATATAATTTTCACAGTCTAATAATGTAAGGCTGTTCCCCACTTTCCTAACTTTGCTCTTCTTGTGCCTCATTGTAATTATAATTCTACTTGAGGGAAAAGGAAGTGAAATCAGTTAGAGAGAGAAGAACATTTAGAGGCAGGGAAGGGAATAAGAAGGTAAACACCCAACTCATTCTAGCTCTTGCCACCTCATTTTATTTCCAGTCCTGTAACTTCCCCCAAACAGGCCTCAAGGTTGCTCTGTTCCTTCAAGAACCCATGCAGTCTTGGCAAAAAGGAACACCATGATACTATGGAGAATTCTCAATACACCATCTCAACAAAATGGGCTTTTACCTTCAGGTTAGAATCGTAAGTGACTGTAGGAGAAGTCTGAGTTGGGACATCATTGTGTTTCACTGTAACATTGCTAGGTTCTTCTGTTCCAAGAATTTTAATCTCATTAAAGGCTAAATTATTGGGGTCCTTGTAGGTTGATTGTGAAATATTCACCTCCAAGCGGTTCTGCAAAACAATTAAGTCCAATTATGCATAAAGGTATGCCTGTAATACACAGATTCTCAAGTCACTCAAATATTCCATTGCAGACCGGACACCCCCACTGCCCTGGATGCCTCTCTGCTTTCTCTACTAGTGTGTGCTCAAGAAATACAAAATTATTTTAATAATTTTCTAATTTAAAACAATCATAAAAACACACAGATATTTTTATACTGTATTTACAAATGCTGTTTGCTATATTAATGCCTTCTTTTGAAAACTCTGATGAAATCATAAATAGAAATGTGTTCACTCATAGCCAATAATGCATAGAAAGTTACAAATATAATCACACATATACAATATACACAAGCACAGATGTGCTAATGGTCAGTCCAAAGCCCACACCTAAGATTCAGAAAAATATGTTACTCACTTGAGTGACAGAAAACTCACATAAAAGATATACTTTATTGGCCACAGTATCTGCAAGTGAGAGAAAGTCAAGTCAGATTCTGGCTTGCCCACCACAGAAAAACAGATTTCACACCCCCATTCTTTTCAGTTACATCCTGATGTCACAAATGGCAGTATTTCCGTTTCCTTATGGATGAATAATATTCCATTTTATTCATTCATCAATGTACACTTAGAATGTTTCCATATCTTGGCTGTTGCAAATAATGCTGTAATGAATATGGGAGGAATGAGTATATCTCTTAGAGATACTGGTTTCCTGTACTCTGGATATACACCCAGAAGCGGGATTTCATGGGATTGCAGGGAAGATCTGTTCTTAATTTTTTGAGGAACCTCCATACTATTTTGCATAACAGCTGTAATAATTTACATTCCCACCAAGAGTCTAAAATATTCCATTTTCTCCACACCCTCGCCGGCACTTATCTCTTACCTTTTTTACGATTTCCATGCTAACAGGTGTGAGGGGATCTCTCACTGTGATTTTTGATTTGCAATTTCTGTCATTTCCTGATGTTGAGCATCTTTTCACATACCAGTTAGCCACTTGTATGTCTTCCTCGAAAAACATCTGCTCAGGTCCTTCACCCAGTTTGTAATTGGGTCATTGGATCTTTTGCAGTTGCATGAGTTTCATATTTTTTATATTAATTTCTTCTGAGATATATGGTTAGCAAATAATTTTATCCATTCTGTCGTTTGCCTTTTCACATTGTTGATTGTTTCTTCTGCTGTGCAGGAGCCTTTTAGTTTGATGTAGTCATGCTTGTTGACTTTTTGGCATTTTGCCTTTGCTTTTGGTATCATATCCAAAATATCACTGACAAGACTAGGTCAAGGAGGTTTTTTCTATGTTTTCTTCTAGGAGCTTTACAATTTTAGCCCTTACATTTAAGTTTTTAATTTCTTTCCTCACAGTAGCCAAGATAAGAAAACAACCTAAGTGTCTATTGGTGGACGCATAGATAAACATATTCTGGGACATATATACAGTAGAATATTTTTCAGACATAAAAAGTAGAACATTCTGCCATTTGCAACAGTATGAATGACTCTGGAGGACATTATACCAAGTGAAATAAGCCAGAGACAGAAAGTCAAATACTGCATGCTCTCACTTCTATGTAGAATCTAAAAAAGTTCATCTCTTAGAAGCAGAGCCTACAACAGTTGTTCTTAGAGCCTGCGGCCATGGAAAATGGGGAGATGATGGTCAAGGGTACAAATGTTCAGTTAGTAGATGAATAAGTTCTGGGGATCCAGTCTGCAGCATTGGTGGTGATGGATGTGTTCATTAAAATAGCTGTGGTAATCACTATACTATGCCTACGTATATTAAATCCTCACATTGTCCACCTTAAACATATTCAATCTTTATTTGCCAACTAAATATTTTACAACTAAATAAATACATAATTTTGAATCTACATATTGGATTAGATGGACAAGCGTCTCCAAGGCCAACCCATTGTTTTTCCTCCTCTTTCCTACTGGAACATTGCAAAGATTCCCTTCTGAGGGCTTCCAAGGCATATGCTTCAAGGGAATCTATTTCCTAAACTTGAAGCACAAGAATTGTTTGTATACTGGAGCCACAAATAGGCTAAAATATATGGCTAGATGAGTATACACTGGAACAGTATATTCTCACTACTTCACTGTCAGGGGCATGATTTTTATATCGTCAATGTTTGCTCATAAGAATTTTGGGAGGAAGACATTAACATTGAATTAGGGAACAGTCTTGAAACCTTTTCATCTAAGCACCCATTGACAATAAAATGAGAGCCTATTATAGATATCACTGGCTAATGGGAGAATTGTCAGAGATACAAATGTATTTTTCTTTTGTCTGCAATTCATCTACCACTATCCCTGAATGGTGCGACCAGAAACAAAATACTTCAGTGACTTGCTGCTGTGCCTGCTGAGATTTCTCCCACAGCTCAATGACCAGCAGGAGGGAAGGACCATAAGTCACAGGGGCGGGTTTGGAAACAGCAACATGATCGTTTCAGCACTCACCCTTTGTTTGCCCATCATCCCAGAAAAGTTCTCCTTTTGCTTCTTTGTTCTCATCTAGGGCAATGATAAGACCAAGAGGGTTCTTTCGACTGTGGGGAACAAGATTCAAGAGACAAAGATAGGAGTCAGAGAATTTTCCCAACTGAGTTGAGAATACTTCCATCAAATATCAAACTGGAAAAGATACTAGCAGAAGATGGTTCTCAGAAATGAGAAGTATCTCAAGAGGGGAGACTTCTGGTACAAAAATTCCAGCAGTCCTAGCCAATGAATGAGGCTGATCACCTGGCTGTTAGTGTGTTTTGAAAAGAAATTCAAAGGCTTTAAGGAAATCCACTGTATACAGTTCTAAAACAGCAGCTTCTGCAAAGCTGTTGTGAATCGTGGCTGCTCCTATGTTGACTTCATCTCTGATGTGAGATTAAAAATGACGTTCTTAGACCTATCATCTCACTCCCTTAGACTTCAAAGTGTTATTAATAATTAGTCAGAGTATCGAGTCTGAAAAGGATTAACATACAAACAAGCAAACAAAGAAAAACAAGTGTTGAGTAAAATTGCATGTGGGCTTGAGAGTGATGCTTACGTTTTGGTGGGCTTCATTACACATTGTTGAGCTAACTGACATGTAAAGGAAAACCTGAGTCCTGTCATTCACCTTAAGTGGGTGTTCAGTGCAGGCTCTTGCCAGGGCAGGATGTAGCCCCCACGGACATGAAGATTAATGTGGTCAAGAGGGGCTGGCAAGGTCTTCCACTCTCCTCTTGCATTCATATCCACACCCTGTGGGCAGAAGAAGGTAAGAGATGATGAAGGAGAGGACAGGCCCCTCCCTGAACAACGCATCCTGCCAGACATCTCATCCTCCCCTCTGAACTTATGCCTGCTCATCACCCTTCACCACTTACCTGCCCCATTACCCATTCTGCATTCACCAAGTGCTGCATAAAATCTCGCAAGGCTGCTATCTATCTTGTTAGGGTCTATGCCTTTGCTTCCACCGTACAAACTACACTTGCCTGATGTGTGACAGAAAGAGGTGCTACTCTCTCACCTGAATCAGAAACCTAACCTAAGGGACTATCCTTCCATCCTACATGTTGTCATCTAGATCAGGGTTTTTCAGTCTCAGCACTATTGAGATTTGGGGCCAGACACTTCTCTGGTGATGGGGCTATCCTTTGTCTTGATATTTAACAAAATCCTCAGATGTCAGCAGCATCGCCTCCTCACCCCCACGCTGTTGTGCCAACAAAAAATATCTCCAGGCACTGCCAAATGTCCCCTGGGAGGCAAAATCTTCTCATTTGAGAGCTACTACTTTACAGGTAAGAAGCTGTTATTGTTGAGAACTAGCGAATATGCATGGCTGTGTTCCAATAAAACTTTATATGCAAACCAGCTAACAACAGATTTTTTTATCGGCCATAGTTTGCCAGGCTGTGCTCTAGAAAGAGTAATAAGTACCCAAACTTGGGAAGGTGACACTTCTTCATTAATCCTAACTATGAGATTCATCTTCATTTTTTAATTAAACATCAAAAATTTCATCTTATTCTTTTTTCTTTTTTCTTTTTCTTGACACAAAGGCTCGTTCCATCGCCCAGGCTGGAGTTTAGTGGCACAATCTCAGCTCACTGCAACCTCCACCTCCCAGGTTCAAATGATTGTCCTGCCTCAGCCTCCCGAGTAGCTGGGACTACAGGTGATCTCCACTACACCAGTTATTTTTTTGTATTTTTAGTAAAGACAGGGTTTCACCATCTTAGCTAGGATTCTCCTGACCTTGTAAACCGCCCACCTTGGCCTCCCAAAGTGCTGGGATTACAGGTGTGAGCCACAGTGCCTGGCCCAACTTCATCTTTTTCTATAGAGTTTTCTCCACGATTTCTTTTGTCTTTCCCTCTTCGATCAAAGACATCTTCTGTTACTAAATGGGAGACTCAACATGCACACTCAGGACAAAGGCCAGTCTCACTTAAAGAAAGCTGGCCACTTCTTCCTAGGGAAGACCTGGCTGGGAAGCACATAGCAGAGCCTTAACATGTTACCACCCTAAGGGCAGACAGACTGGCAACAGGAAGGGGAGCCTGGGGCAGTGGAGGGGACTTGGGTTCCAATGGACTGAGAAGAGAAGGAACAAAATTGTACATCCTTCTCCAGTTTTCACCTAATCTCACTGCAGTCCCCTTGGATGAAAGGGGCCAGCACATGCTCTGCTTCTTGTTTCTCTGCTTGTACCCCTTTGCTGTATTGCCAGCCCTCAACTAAGTTCTCCTCAGAAAGTCAGAAGAAGAAGCCTGGTTAGAAACGAAGGAAATAACTCCTTTGATTCTTCCCCAAGAATCAGGGTCTGACTTCTCAGGGTCCCAGCAAGAGACCACCACCCCAGAGCTGCCCTGGAACACCCTGGCTTCCCAGCTGAGTCTTTGGGAATCATACTAGCAATGAAACTATGCGGCAAGGAGCTCTTCACTGCTGCCTCTTTTCTAAATGTGCTTGCACTGCTTAGACTCACAAGGGTTGGGTCCCACACCTCTGTGTGTGTTTTGCACATTCTCTAATCACTTGAGGGCCTTAGGTAATTATGTGCATCACCCCTCTTTGAGCATCTATGCAATGGAAGGAGATATTTAATAAAAACAGACAAAACGGCCTCTATACTTACAAACTTATAGCAGGCAAAGATACAAACATTAAAAACAAAAACTACAGTTGGCAACACAATCTCAAATGTTGGCTAGCATCTGCCTTTACACAACATGGTAAAGAGCAGTGATATAAGGAAACATTAAAAACTAACACAAAGATAACACCCACAAAAATGCAGACCCTGAGTGAGATGCTCTATGTGTTACTTCACAAGGGTTCTATGAGGGAAGTGGTCTTACTCCACTTGGAGGTGAGAAAACTGAGATTACAAGGGTTAAAGTGGCTTCTCTAAGACCACACAGCAGGTGGGTTACAGATCCAGCATTTGACCTAAAGTCCATCACATGTAAAGCCTTGTTCTCTCTACCATATTCCCATGTTGTATAAACATTCAGAAAAACTTACCGTGTAGTAATCGTACCAGCGGGCTTTAGGGAAATATGCAGTGACATTTCTGGCATTCTAAAATGAAACACAAACAAGGTGAGGCAGTGGGCACCATTTTCCAGGACAGAGAAACCAAACTGGTTAGGAAAGAGGTGAAATAATTCTGATGGCTTTGGACCCATCTGCCTCACGTCTGGAGAGGTTAGCGACTGGAGTAACCTTCTTCCCGTTTTCTTTTTTAAACGGGAGATTTGTCTACCCAAAACAAGTGGCTTCATAAAGCACTTTGGTATCCAGGAATTCGGGAAAAAATAAATCACTGTTGCTTATAAACATAGACTTACCCCATTTCCTCTTAAAGAGACAAACAACTGAGGTTGTGTTTGGGCAGAAGAAAATTTTGTGGGTACAGTAAGATTTTGGGGCCAGGAGCAGTGGCTCACGCATGAAATACCAGCTCTTTGGGAGGCCAAGGGGGGCGGATCATGAGGTCAGGATATCGAGACCACCCTGGCTAATATAGTGAAACCCTGTCTCTATTAATAATACAAAAAAAATATTAGCCAGGCATGGTGGCATGTGCCTATAGTCCCAGCTACTCGAGAGGCTAAGGCAAGAGAATCACTAGAACCCGGGTGGCGGAAGTTACACCGAGCCAAGATCACGCCACTGCACTCCAGCCTGGGCAACAAAGTGAGACTCTGTCTCAAAAAAAAAAAAAAAAAAATATTTGGGGGAGGTACAATTAACTGGTATTTTAATCAGAAGCTTAATCAACAACAGAAGTAAAGAAAGGCTTTTACTGCTGGGAGGCGCTCCTGCACAGGAAGGGAAGGGGTAGCCAGCAGCAGTACAAGTATACACATTGCCAAGTAATCCTTCTGAAGAGTTGTAATAGTGCTAGAGGACTCTTATAAATTCTTTACGACACTGCCCCCATCTGACCTTCTATTCCTTATTTTAGTTAACAAAGAAATGATTGTGTCATTGAATATACCATAAGGTGTTTTCTTCTTGATCATCCTATGAAGCAGTTGTTAGGCTCATTTTAAAGATGAAGGAGCTGAGGTCCACAACACTTAAGTGACGGACTTCAGTTCAGAAGGAGAGGAATAGACACAGGGAGAATAAGAAATCATGTCTTACGACCCCCACCAGCTCAGGCCTCTCTCCTCGTCCTTTTCCCCAAGCCACACAGCTGGTATCCTCCCCGCATAGGAGGCCTCCATACTCACGCGCTCCAGGACAGGGCTGACCAGGAAGGCTGGGCCCAGCAGGAACTGTCTGTCTATGTCCCACGTCACCTGGTCTGACACAAACCTGGAAAGGGAAATGAAGGTGCCCAACAGAGCCCAACAGAGCCCCAGCCCGAGACTTGGAAGAAGGTCCTCAAGTTCAGATCTAGTCGGAAATCCAGCTGCCCCTGAGCCTTCCTTGCTTTTTCCCTAGGCCTAGCTTCATCAGGAGCACCAGCCTCTGCTCTCCCCACGGGATGTGCCTCAAACATCAGAAATGCTGGGATGTAGATGTGTTCTCTCCTGTAAACTATTACCTCATTTCTTAACCATTTCACATTTTAAATGCAAGGATGTCGCTCCTGCCTCATATCTCTTGCTGAAATCCTCCTTTTCTGACCTGGGTCCATATAAACAAACTGCTACAAAAGATAGATAGGTCTTTGCACAGTCAAATGAGAATGAAACTATTCTGTGCTGTATGGCATCATTTCAATTTTGTTCATTGTATACATAGCCTTTTTTCATGACCTATGGTACATATAACACTGTGCTAAAGAGAGTAATAAAGTATGGTCTGCGCCTCAGGAGTTCATGTCAAAAGACAAACATGGCTTTCATTTGGAAGAATTGTGTATATCAACTCCCTCCATATAGAATGCAATAAGTCATCCATTACTCATCGGGATCCCTGCTGGACACTCACTCATGAAGCAGAGGCCGCACAACAGTGACGCCCTCTGTGTGGGCCTTATACATCAAGGTATACAGATATGGCAACAGGGTGTATCTGGTCTGCAGGACATTTCTGGAAATATTCACAAAAGCAGCATCCCAGGACACAGGGTCTTGTCTCTAAAGGAAAGAGAACAGTATTGGGAGCTCGCCCTAGAATTTCTAGGGGATTTAAGAAGGTCACTGAAAGCATATTCCAACTGAAGATCACTCACAGCTAAACAAAAGAAAACTATACATGAGGCCCAGGGAATACTCTTAACAGACTGGAAAGAGTCATGGACGCTCTCCTAGGACAGCTGATAAAATCTCACTGTAAGACATTCTTTTTGGTACAATTTTGCCTAAAATACAGGAAAAAAAAAAATCTGAAGAACACTGAGGGATATGGTTCATTGAGACACCAGGTCGTAACAATTTGTAAGGGTGCACTGGGTCATGCCTATATTCCCAACACTTTCGGAGGCTGAGTCGAGTGGATCACTTGAGCCCAGGAGTCAGAGACCAGCTTGGGAAATATGGCAATACCACATCTTACAAAAAATGCAAAAATTAGGTGGGCACGTTGGTATGTGCCTGTAGTCCCAGCTACTCAGATGGCTGAGGTGGGACAATCGCTTTAGAACCAGAGGTCGAGGCTGCAGTCAGCCATGATTGGGACACGGCACGATTCAGTCTGGACAAAGAGTAAGTACCTGTCCCCCTCCTCCAAAAAAAACAAAAACAAAAACAAAAAAAACCCACAATTTTTTAAAAGATATCCCAAGAAATACAAACTGCGTTAATTTTAGCTCGGAAATGGAGATTGTATTTCTAGTGACACACAACACTGGAGGCAGAAGCCACTGTCCTACCCTGGTCCCAATGGTGTTATGGTTTCTTGAGAAGGGGTAAAAGGCCCCCAGCTGCATCCAGCGAACACACATCTCATATTCAGCATCTTGAAAGAACCCACAGATATCTGCTCCTGTCTGAAACAAGAGGAAATAAAACAAGTCTGCTGATGTTTTCTGAAAGATGTCCCCACCTTCTTGGTGCTTAGGAGGATCCCAAGGACACTCACATAGGATATGCCGAAGAGGCTGAACTCCATCATGCCTGCAATGAGAAGCACAGCAGTGTCACACCAGGCTCTCACCACCCGCTTCCTCACCTCTTCCCCAAGGATCCCAACTCCCTGCCCTACCAGCACAGGCCCTGGGAAGGAGCCACGCACCAATGATAGATTTCTTCAGCTGATCCCACGCGGCCGTGTTGTCTCCCAGCCAATGTCCTGCCCAGCGGCCAGAAGACGGAAATGTGGAGCGGCTGATGACGACCCCTCGCTGTCCCGTCACCTCCTGCATGGCTCTGGTTGGAGGGCAACAGGAGGTGAACTGAGGGCATGGTCAGGGAGCAAAGGCCAGAGAGCTTCTGCTCCCAGAGCCCTTGAGCCTAGTTAATGTTTGCTGCGTGATTGGAGGGAATATGGGAATCTGAGCTGCAATGGGGGCCCCACTGATCCCAGATAATGGAGATAACGAGTCACGTGTTCTCACAGTGCTTTACAAAGAACTTCACTGTAGCAAACTCACTGGAGTGGCCAAAAATAGTAAGGTTTTACTAAATCTTGCTATTGATTTCCTCAATACGTAGTTTTCTATATTTGAGGAGGAACACAGTGAAGATCATAAGACTGTCCTTAGAAGAATTCATACCATTCGTTGAGCTTGCAAAGGGGACTGTGTTAATTTCGTAGAATAACAGTTACCCTCCACCAAGAATGGACAAAAATAAAAATCTGAAAATATGATTCACTTTTGAAATAAAGGCGAGAGATGCCCAGTCTCTGTGTTCCTTTCACCTCCTGTAACTAAAACTATTGTACCACCGGATGCCCTGTGTGATCATTATGGTGTCTCTATGTGTGTCGTTCCCACCAGGATCATTAAGTTTTTCCCTGGTGGGACCATGTCTTATTTAAATCTGTCCTTCTCCTTTTAATCAGAGGGCCTGGCTCCACATCAATGAGTATTTGTTTAATAAGAATCATTACACGGTTGTCATGAGAATCTTCTTAACCCTTAGAATGGGAATGAAAGAAAACTAGGGTGGCTATGTCCGTCCCTGGCAATCCCTCTGGGTTGAGACAGCTGGAAAAGGAGAGACTTACTCGTATGTGGGTCTGGTCTGGGACCACCCGTACAGGCTGTGCACGTTGTAGTGCTGCACCGGGGAGCCGTCTGGGAGGATCTGCTGACTCTCCATGCACAGGGTCTTGCTGCTCAGGCCCCTGTCCCTGGACTCCAAATCTGAGGAGGAAGAACTGGTGAGGTGAAATGCAGCCAAGATATGAACCCAAGTGTAACTCCGAAGTCCATCAGCTCCATCATAAGGGAAAGCCAATAATTCCCACCCATTGATGACACTAGAAATTCCTGTGATGGAATTCACACAAGCCGAAAAGCTAAGAAACCTAGTTGTGAGAATCCTTTGTGGCATGAGCACTGCTAAGTGCTTTCTGGACAAATTTCAGGAAATTTGCTCAATGAATCTAATCACTTGCACATGCCCATCTGGGTAAAGCAAGTGCAGCGTTTTTGTCTCTGGTCCCCAGTAAACCACAGCAGCCATGAGGATGTGCCCTGAGCTGTGCAGGCACAACCCTGGCTTCTGGGCTCCTCCAGTGGCCATCCTTCCAGTCCTAGCTCTGCCAGTCAAGGAGAACAAGGGTTCTTACGTGGCATGTAGGGAGGGCGGTTCAGAGAGGCATCCCTGCAGCCTGGAGAAACTGCCCCATTCACGAAGCTTGATGGTTCATTCATATCCTAGAAATGCCAAACACAGACATACCTCACTCTTTAAGATAATTATGTCCAGCCAATTCTGAGCCAAGGAAGCAGTGAATAAATTGTTCAACATCCAGTAATCCCTGTAGATGCCAGCCCTGGGAACTTCATCAAATCCTGGTGAGAACTGGCTGGAAAGATTAATTCACTCCTACAGAATGACTGGCTAGAGGTTTTAAAAAATAAATCTCTTCCCAGGTGGCTGTGAGGCAATCAAATTTCCAAGAAATTCCTAGTAAATTGCCTCCAGGATTTTTTTTTTTTTTTACAGTTTTTTGAGAGGGAGTTTCGCTCTTGTTTCCCAGGCTGGAGTGTAATGGTGCGATCTCGGCTCACCACAAACTCTGCCTAGTATGTTCAAGTGATTCTCCTGCCTCAGCCTCCCAAGTAGCTGGGATTATAGGCATGCCCCACCACACCCAACTAAGTTTGTATGTTTAGTAGAGACAGGGTTTCTCCAAGTTGGTCAGGCTGGTTTCAAACTCCCAACCTCAGGTCATCTGCCCACCTCAGCTTCCCAAAGCACTGAGATTACAGGCACGAGCCACCACACCGGGTCCAGCCTGAGAGGTTTTACAGTAGGAGCCTTAGGTCCGGTACACGGTCTGAGGGCTATCAGGGATGTACCATTCCTGAGAGGAGGAAGTATCTGATGTGTCCAAAGTCTTCCTTGGACAATGACTATCCTCTTGACTGAAGGTCAGTGGTCCATATACTCAGGCACACAAAGATAGACAAGTGCCACAGGTACAGAGACACACACACTTACAATCCACAGGCCATCAAACTTCAAGCTCCTCTCTGGATTCTGTGGATTGTTGTATAGTTCTTCTATTTCTCTCTTCCACCACTTGGCAGTTGAATTACGGAAAAAGTCTGGGAAGGCCACATAAGCTCGATATAGCTGTAAAATATAAATATAATTTATATGTCCCACACAAATATGTAAGACAGCAAACAGACACCTACTGAGAATGCAACTCACACAGATACTTGAACTGCATGGTGACAGACGGCCTGAATGGGGCCTAAATAATGTTATTAACTAATTAGAGAAACGTAGAATGAGAAGAGAAATTAGTGCAATTTGCACACTTTCCCAGCATTTGGAAAACATCCAAAAACTGTTCTCTTCATATACACATGGTTGACGACAATCAATGACCTAAACTAGGGACCTCATGCATTCGACGCCCAACCCTCAACGTCAGTCCTGCCATTTCCTAAGCACTCCTCAAACACAAAGCCAGGGAGAGACTGCAGACATGAGATGCATGGTAATAGGTTAGGAAGAAACACCCAGGGAGTCCCTCCTATATCATTCCCACTGAGACAGGGGAGGAAGGAATAAGATGACATTTCAGGATATTCGACCAGTACGCCTCAGTGTTTTCTACAGTTTCAGAATCACATGACAACTACAGCTGTTGGAGCATAAATTGGAGGACTTAAAGAGAATGCATCGACTTCCCCTTATTTCCCTCTTCACTCAAATAATAAAAGTAGTGTCTTTATTCACCTGAAAGACAGATTCAAGATACAACTTTTCATCTACATTGTAGATTTTTGAGAGTAAGAAGTTTGTTTTATATTCTTCTGAGTGATATTTATATTGCCCACAATGTTCAGCTTAGAACCTGCCATAAAATACTCAGTGTTTACTAGAGGGTTCACACCACTTAGAAGCAGCAAATAAATATCCACATATTTTAATATACTCATGTTGTTTGTTATGGAACATTACGGTCCTTTGTATGTCTCAGTAAATAGTCTCCTCTATGCTAATCACACCACTGTAAGAGTTAAAGAGCCAAAGAATGCTTGTGAGGAGGGTGAGGGAGGCAACAGAAAGAGGACTTGGTCTAGTGGAACTCCAGTTCTTATACACCACAGATAAAAGGCAGGTAGGAATCCAGATGTCTAGATAAAGGGCAAAAGAAGGAACACAAGAAAACAGAAACAGATCAGCCTGTATGGGTCTGGCTGTCAAGGATATCAGAAGACAGCGGCTCACATCACGCAGAATCTTGAGAGAAGTGGGCTTGCCAGGGATGCCTTTTGTGAGGAAATGGAGGCAGAAACCAGGAAACCCAATAAAGAGAACTTTTCACCAGAAACAGAGAGCTCCAGATCAGGCAGGTTTAGAAACAATGGGATGGGTGGGGAATGGAGAATTACAATAAAGAGAGTATCAGCCACATCTCAGTCAGAATTGTATCCCATACGGGGTACACGTGGGGAAACTGGCCAGCCATGACGTATGAACTTCCCTAAGGACTGCTCGGACGACCCCTACCAACTTCATAAAAATGTTCTGCCGTTCTCCACAGTGCTGGCTTTGCCTGCCCATATTCAAGTCTTGCCTTGTGGCTTCTGCCTTCACTTTCTCCAGTCTTCAAACAGTGATGTACCCACCCACGCACTGGGCCTCAGGACCACCTAGCAGTCTTTTTGTAGCGCATCATATGCTACAAAACGCAATTCATACATCCCATCACAGACTTATTGAATCAAATCACTGGAGCTTTGGACTCAGAAATCTGCTTTTCATAGGCTTCTTGACTGTTTTATGCTCAGCGAAGCCAGGCCTGGACATCAGTGGCTTCACCCTCACCAGCCTCGTCAAGTGGGTCTCACTATTAATAATATAAATATTAGATTGGTGCAAAGGTAATTTTGGTTTTGGAATTAAAAGTAATGGCAAATATTACCTGTGCACCAACCTAACAATTACAATTATTCTATCTACCAACAATCTCTTATGAGCTACCTAAAAGATTATGTGAATCCCCTAATGAATGTTTCTTATCAGAAACCCAACTGGCATTTGAGGCATAAGATTTTTTGTGGAGAATTCCCTGCAATCAGAGCTATCGGCATCCCTGCCTACTGCCCATTAAATGCCACCTGGTGTCCCTGTGATAACCAACACTGCCCTCAGATTTCCAAATGGCCTCAGGGTGGCAGTGTTGCCCCTACTGGCTGCTGAACTGTGGGGCTCATAATGTAGTACCTGACTACTTGATAAAAGACAAGAGGCCAATGACCTAGAACTTCTCTGGCTGGGCAGGTTCCTGTGTCCATGTGGGCTGCTTGGACCCCTCAGCTTCAAGTTATTCACTGTGAGAAGTAACAAGAGGACAGGAAGCTAGGTCTTCTCCTTTGAATACTTATCTGATAGATGATAGATAAACAGACAGATACAGAGTGGATACAGTAGGTAAATGGATAGATACGACAGATAGATACATAGATAGATAGATAGATAGATAGATAGATAGATAGATAGATAGATAGATAGATAGAGAGCTAGATAGACAGAGAGACAGATATACATAGATAGATACTTGTGCAATACTACATAAAAGGAAAACAGCCTTGAACTGAGTCTGACTCATTCTTGTCAATCTTCAAAACCTGCCCCAGCTTCTGTTTTGTTTGTACTGTTTTACTGAATTTACTGACAGAAAATAAAGACATGGAGTCCAATATTCAAGCAACCTGGTCCCAAGCGTGTCTCATTTTACATTGAAAAGAGCAACAGCTGCCAACTGGCTCTGGAATCCAGGAAGTCAGAGACTGACAACAGAGAAGTAGGCATCACAGGCTTGCAGTACCTTCTGCTCTCACTACCCTGTTGGAGCTGTCCGAGGTCCCAGCCTAGGGTCCAGATTTTGGGGTTGTATCTAATATATGTCTTTCCCTCTAGGACTCACCACTTGCCCTGAAAACCAGTTTATCTGGATAAGGCATGAATTTTTGGCCTAACTCTTGCCAGTCATGTTCCTGGTGATGAGTGTTTCTCTTGCACCTCTCTCCGCGGCTACAATCTTTCATCATGTAGAAAGAACCCCAAAAAGAGGTCTTCGCCCCTGGGCTTCTGAGTGGCTGCTAACTGAATTTACAACTGCTGGGATTTGTTCCCACAATATGGATATTTCTCTGATTAATACTTGATCCTGAGAGAGTATCTAGACTCTACAACATATACCACATTGCTGACAGCACAGGACAGTTCCTTTGTCCCTTTAATTCCTGGCAGATGTGCTAGAAAAGAGGCCTTTTCCTGGTCTCCTCAGCTCTCCTGTGGGGGTCACATAGGCTACACATGCCCTGCTACAATTCCTACCCAGAAAGAATAACCATTATTGAAGAACAGCTCAAGAGGCAGGGCAAGGTACTTGCTCTCCAGGAAGTCCTTGGCCCCACCCTGACAATCCTGTCTGTGGGTACTGTCACAAAAATCGATAGTAAAGCTCACAGGCTGCCTCAGTTCAGGAGACACACATCTTGGCCAGAGGATGGGGCTGTAGGCTTCCTAGCCCTGTAAGGAGCCATGTATTCATTCAAGCAAGAAATACTTAGTGAATCTGGAAAAAAATTCAGGTCCAGAAGCATGGGCTACCTGGATCCATTATAAGCAACAAACCGTCCACAGGAGAGAGCAGGTTTTACAATAAGGTTGGAAACTGAGAGGTAAAAGCAAAGGTGAGAAATGCAAGGAAGGATTGGGCTCAGAGGAGGACTTATAAGTGTGAAGATGGAGAACCTGTTCATGGGGAAAAAAAAGAAAAATATACAAAGAAAAAGACCTAGTCAGTCTTCCAGGATTGAAGACTGTTAGAAAGGGAAAACCATGGCAACAACAGTAAGTATGCCAGTCCAGGGAGAAGATAGCACTTCTAGGAGGTATCACCCAGTGGAAATTTCCTGGGCCTTTGGAGTCTGATAGCCTTGGAATTGAAATCACCACTCTGTCATGTAAAACTGGAGAAAAGTAATTTAAGCTCTCCGGTCTTGAATCCCAAGGATAATAATACATATCTACATCTCAGTGGACAGTAAAGTATTACTCCATATGAGGTAATGGGCACAGACTGATACCCAAGACACATGACCTAAGTCTTTGTCCCTTGTCATGTCTATGTCCACGGTACAGGCATGTCCAGAATCCCAGGAACAGCTGCCCTTGCCTAGAAACACTGACGCAACCCAAATTGACAAAGACCCTTTTACCTCCACTTGGCTGTCCCAGTCTAGAGATTCATTCACAACAATACCAGGAAAATCGGGCCAGACCTATGGAGAGAAACACGCTCAGTAGCGATGCACGAGATAGTTTCCCCTACATAGGATTTCCAAAGAAATTGTTGTATAAACCATGTTCTAGGAGCAATGATACTTTGTCTACCATGTAGGATTGACATAAAAGAAAAGTGAATTCCATAACATGTTACATTACTTTAAAGGTCTTTAATTGTATCAACAAATATTGTTGAGAAAAGGAGAGCTTCAGACCTTGGGTCAAAATAGAAAACGCCAAAAATAACATACACAGGCGTGTGACCCACTAACCGTGACCCACCCGCAGGCTAGGGACTAGTGGATCATCCCTTAGGATTATACCTTTCCCCAGACAATGTCTCCATCATTTGGGTATTTGATGAAGATGTCATCCTCCAAGCCCCGAGTGAAGGCAGGATAGGGCTGTGTCTCATTGCCGGAAATGGCTGGATCCTGAAATCAAAGCATAAGTCAGCTGGGAAAGCCAAAGTCAGAGAATAAGGAGAAACAGAATAAAGGAAAAGTCCTCCAGGGTGAGCTCGCTGACTTCTACCTGAACTGTAGAATTTCTGTGAGTCCTGGGAAATACAGAATTCTTACTGCACTTCAATTTATCTATTTGCAACATGGAAATAAAGTATAACTCTTTCTCCACCAAAGCCCATACCTGCTCCCAAACTGACCGCACACATTCACATCAGGACTAACCAGAATGAGGATGACCCGCATCCCATCAGCCTTCATGCGGTTGATCAGAGCTGGAAACCCAGCAAACTTGGGGCTGAGGGTGAAGTCCAGCTGCCGCTCCATGTAGTCGATGTCTGAGTACTGCACGTCCTGCGGGAGGACATGGGGAGCTGAGTGGCTGCTGCTGTACATGCTCAAGCTTTACAGGAGAACAACCCTCCACTATACATGGTGGAATTCCAGAAGCTTCTCGTTGATGCTTTCAAATCCCAGCTCTGCTATTTCTTAGGGACAGGTGCTGGGAAATTCACTTAATTTTGTAAATGTTCAGTGACAAGATAGAAAAAAATCGAAGTCAGCATAAAATAGGAGGAGAATGTGTCTCTAGCATGGCTATTCTGAGGAAAAGATAAAACACTGTTTGGAAAGTGCTTTGTAAATTGCCCATATCAGGTGTGATTGTGATGACCTCCTACAAGAGACTGCCCCTGGTATCAGTGGTTCACGTTGAGGAAAAATACTGTGAATTATCGACGGGTAATGGCAAATCTACTACAAAACAAAGTAAAGATGTATAGTTGCTTTGGAATCCCGAATCTTGAGGGTAATCATACACAACATTCTTCCTGAGACTTCCTGAGTAATACTGCATTTCACTATCCACTAATGGAAACACTATGTTCCACTAATGGAACAATTGTAAACAATAGAAAAGAGGGATAAAATTAAATGTGGGATGGTTCATGGGATCAATTCTCTGATGACTGGGTCCCCTGCCATCCTCCATTGAAGAATAAGGTTTATTTCCATCTGTATGTCCTCTGGAAACCCATCCCAGGATTTGTGTAATCCATCAGTTATTAGCTCAGAGCTGATGCAGGAACTGAGATTGTATTCACATGTACAGTTGTCTGACCGATTTGTGGTTAGTCTTTTCAAGAATTAAGTAAAAGAACTGTGGGATATTATTTATTCTCATGAAACCAAAGACGTTTTTGACTAAATGTTTTGAAGTCATGTGAAAGAAATGGAAGGAAACATGAGACAGCAGAAATAGCCCTGGAGCCAGCCTATCTCCCCCTCCGGGAAATCACAGTGAGTCTTGAGCTACCATCTCTAGAACATGGAAACAAGCACCCTTAACTACATTACTGTGCTCGGGTGATGCTGTGATATTGCCTGAAAAAGAACATTATGTCTTTATAGAATCCCACAAACATTAGACAAATGAGCCCAGACACAGAGGCACCTGGGTTAGTTACCAAACTCCAGAGCCATGACTGAGAACGTACATAAGGGATCCGGGCGGCTACCATCTCATCATACAAGCTGGCGATCTCAGAGTCGTTCTGGTATCCATAGCGACACAGCTGGAAACCCAAAGACCAGTAAGGTACCATCACAGGCCGGCCAATCAACTAGAAAAAATAGACAGAAAGTATTAGTCCTCAGAACAGAGGCACCAGATTGAAGTTGTGCATCAAGTAACAAGAATATTTTTCCATGCCCCAAGCTAGACAACTAACTAATTGAAATCCACATCAAAACTGACAGGATATAGAGCCACTGGGATACTTGGAGAAAGCTTTCTGCTAGGCTTGACCTCCTTCTTGAAAATTATGGAAAAGCTGATTTTACTCTATTCCTAGAGACACTGTAGGTAACTCATTAAGAAGCCCAGAATCAGAGACAAATGCTTGGCTTAGCATACAGGCTCCAGTCCTGCTACCTGTGTGACTTTAGGCAAAAATTAAGTAAACTCTTAGTGCTTCAGTTTCTTCATCTGTAAATAAGGGATAATAACAGCATCTGCCTCATCGCTTTCCTGTGAGGTATGAATGAGTTAATATGGGTGAAGTGCTCTAATATGCAGCAAGTGATAAATCAGTGATGTGCACTTGCTAGTATATAAGTGTCTGTTGTTGCTGCACAAC